GGGGGGGGGGGATGTCAGAAAGAGCCTTGGTGCTGTGTAAGCCCTGCGCAGCAGTAGCCACAACACCAGCGTGCTATCAACACCCTCCCATTCCCCAACATAAAACGCAGCACCATGAGGGCTGCTATAGGGGAAAACCAGTTCCAGCTCAGTCCAGACCCAGGACACTGGATAATACAAAAAAGCAGGTACCAGAATAAACTGAGTCTGAATCTGTTCTCAAATAATCACAGCAGTGAGGAGTTTGTCAGAGTAACTGACATTTGATCTATTTTAGACACTTCGTGTTTCACATAGATGGATACTGTCTATATTCACTTTAGTCTGGAGGCAATTAGAAGTGTAATGTCTGATCTTTCTGGATTCTGTTAATCTCCAGCCACTTCTGAGCAGCATTTAGGCTGAAAGACCTTGCAGGACAAAAGGAGGCATTGGGAAGTAACAGCTGATTTTCAAAACAGTAAATCTTGCAGCTTTAAAACTTTCTGCTGAGAAGAAACTGATGTGCTGACTTATGTATATACAGCTACAAAAGTGTTTGATCAATACTTGAAATATGTCAAGACTAGTTAAGTAGCTTTTAAAAAAATCTTCAACAGCAAAGATGACTGTACAAAGTCCTCTCAAGATAGGCCTATAACGTTGCTAAACATATGGTAGACAGAAAGATACCAAATGTATCAGTCTAGGAAATAGTCTCATCTGTTATGTAAGAATATATTTAGAGAAATATATCTTATAATTTTTGTCTCCAATATCAAATGAGTATGGAGTATCAGATGAGGTCTTAAATGTTTATGGATTATATAAGATTGATGGACTGCCATGGGAATACTGCCCTCAGCCATCGTGATAAAACATTTCCTTCAGGGAAACAGACGTTCACAAACTTCAAGAAAGTTTTTAATATCTTCTTGTAAGACAATTCATCAGTGACCAAAGAACAGAAACCCTAGCCTTTGTTTTTGCCTCCTATTTCACTTCAATCTCCTGAGTCATGGCTGAATATGGACTACCATTTACATGAATAAAGCTGCATAATTGGTGTCTCCATTAAGATTTCATAACACTGTCATGGTGACAACAATTTTAACCAAATTAAAGAGAATACACTTTCCCTCCCAGTACTACTATACGTGTAGTACTACTACATGCACGGGCTACACATCTGAGAGCCAAAACCAAGTTCAATACCAGGTCTTTGCCATCAAGGCAAGAGCTACGGGAAATTAGCATTTTGTTAACATTGTCTTTCAGCTTATTCTGGATGGACAAGAAGTTAGATAAACATTAGGCCTGTCATTACTCTTCAGGTTTACATGTCCCTTTTCAATGAGTAGCAGTTTAAAATGTTTATCTGTTAATCAGTGTTCTCTATTTTCTCTCAAGAGAATATGTGAGATTAATAGGTACAGAGCCAGATTCAGAGGTCTATTATGATCAACTCCTCCATTTAATGAAGATGGTCTCAGAAAAGCTCTCTAAGCACCTAGAAAAATAGTATTTTCAATAGCTGAAGCATTTATTAAAAACTGTAAGACACCAGCCTAATAAATTATATTAATTCACACTATTAATTAGCATTTCTGGTAATTTCTTCAAAAGGAAATACATAAAAACTCAGTATTGGAATGTGCACCTGTATTATACCTTCAGGAAGTGTTAAATCCTATGTTAGCTTTTAATAATCAATGTACAGTTTAAAGTTTAGGGAGAAAATTACATGGTTAAGCTCACACAGTGAGATAATAGCACATTTGTTCTAAAATTCCCATTTTCTTGTTTTCTAGTGACATGCACTATTTTCCTAGTCTACTTTTTCGCCCTCTGAATAAGTTTTATATGACAACTGCCTGATGTTTTCTATTTTAATTAAATAGCTAAACTGGAAACAAAACAACCAACCCTAATTTGCACAACAGTCTGCTCTACCTAAGAAGAGTGCAGCCTATGCAGTGCCGAATCCATGATTTCTATAGAAGAAATCTCTTCAGTTTGATTATACCTGCTTTCCTTAACTTTTAAGAAGACATAAATATATCGTGACCAGCATTTTACATACACTGTCTCAAAGTGAGACTGTCTTTTCAAATTTTAAATAATGTGGATTTAAGAACATGGTTATATTTCACATTAGGAAGCCCTAATGTCCTTCTAGGTTAATACTGGCCCAAGGTTTTCCTTATCAGTGTGAACAAAATGTGATCCTGTCCGGTGATAATGAGCAGTGGCACTATGCACCAGTTTTAATTAAAAAGCAAAGTCTGAAATCTGAAGGCAAAAATGTTTTCCTCCTGTTTTCACATAATGGGAGTTCAACAGTTGCAAACTGCATTAAAGACACATGATTTGCTATTTAGATAATGAGCCATATATCAACGCCAGGCACCTGTTAGACAACTATACTACAAACAACTTCTCCCAAACAGTACTGAATAATTAAATTAACAATTACAGCAATAAGCTTGCAAGCTGATTGCTTGGAAAAAAACCCAAACCAAACAACTTATCATCTTTCTTGCGAACTTCCTCTCATTCATTTAGCTACACAGAAAATGGTGTGTGTGGAGGAATTTCTTGCACACCCTAGTTTCTATATTTTTGCAAATCTGTCCCATTGTCCTCATGTAATTATTGAACCGATTTACACTGCAGCAGCTCCTATCCCCTTCGTAACTACTACTTGTCAACAGTCATGGTAGGGCTTATTCTAAATGCAGCTGTATGACCTACTATGACCTTGGACACTTTCATAAGAAAAAACAATTACAGTTATCTTCCATACATTAGCTGAATACTTTATATTATAGCACAGTGTTTTTGAAAGAAATTTAAACCATATGCGTATCCTCCAAGATAAAAGCTCATAATGCAAGACTAAAATGTATTTATATATGTTTCTATATGTATATCTCATTTAAATTATTTCCTGAAGTTCAGAATATTATGTTCAACTATCTTGTCACAGAGTTGATAGAATAAGAAGCTATGTCCTTGGTGAAAGAAAAGACTTGAATCTGATATCCCTAGAAAAAAAAGAAACATACTCAAGTCCTTCAGACAGTTAACTAGCCTGAGTGGTAACTACAGTCTACTGTTACTATTTTGGACTATGCTGCATGTCCTGTATTTATTTCTCAACACAGAGCTCCGTAAAAATGAATCATCAAGTCACGCATACTTTTCCAAGATGTACTGCTGTTAAAGCTAACTGGACCTGTGCCATATGGCTGCATCCTTAATACAAGAAGTCTGAAGTCATTTTAGCACAGCTGTTCTGTTAAAGTGAAGAATTAAAAGAGACAAAATTCTGGGCTGGCAACTCCTTGGAGGTTTTAGTTAGTATAAGGTATCATCTTTTGTTTTGTTGCACAAGTTGATGGTTGTATTGTTAAAGATGACAGGCTTACATTTAAAGATTAAGGTCCCTTTCCTGTTTCTACTGGAGAAAATTTACTGTGACTATTTCAAATTAAATAGGAGGGCTCCTATCTTCTCAGCTTTAAAAAATAAAAAGTTTAAATTGTAGAGAGGTTAGAGACTTTTTTTTTTTTAAATGAATTAAGTGCAAAGAGGTGAGAAATACAATTTTTTTTTGCCATTGCATATGTATACATGTATCAGATCACACTATTTTCTTTTGTCCCAGTTTGTTCTCTCAATCCACTTACACAAAATAATGAAATCAACCAAAATTATGTTCTGTGTAGCACCATGAACTTGGAAAGTCCTGTAAGTTTCTTACTGGTTAGTTATTACAAAATACCAGCTCCTCTGAGAGTTACTCCTCTGAGTTACAAAATCAACCCTTAAACAGATAAATGTGTGTGTAACTAGAACATGTATAGAGTTCTGGGCTGAGATACTGTTAAGCTTAGTAACATCTAGGCACACTATAAGTAGCCATATGACATTTTGCTATTGCAGCAGTCGCTTTTTTAAAGAGAAGTACGTGGAACATATACTTACTCTGTCTCCTTTAGGACCTGCAGGGCCATGGGGACCAACTGGGCCATCTACACCCTATGAAAGGAAACACAGAGGGTGAGAGAGAGATCTTGTTATTACAAGTTTTTAGTTTTAATAGCTGTCTTCTGGCCAAGAATTAACATGGAATCAGTATTCACTGGCTGAAAATTTAGACTCAATAGTGGTGGGACCTGGCCAAACAAATCCATTTGGCTTTCAAAACTTCACCTATAAGCTCTCCTGTTACGAGGTAACCCATCTTTCTTCTAGTTGGATTTTACTTTATTCATGGAAGTCATCAGATTTATGAAGATTTTAAATTTATTGGAAGAAATTTTGCCAGGAAAAATCAAAGGGTCAAACAGAGATTGGCTTTTTTTAAACACAGATATTTTTTTAGATTAAAATGTCCACCTGGAAGGTGGACTCACCTGTTACAGTGATCAATGGGAATCTTACAGAAGCCTTCAGACACGTAACTCTACTCTTCTTTCACGTTATCCATTTTTTTACCATTATAAAAAGCAAACGATTTAACATTTAATACGAGAATGCCTGTAGCAGAACTCCAGCACGTCTGCATCCATTTCACTGATTCCACATTAGCACTGAACAAGTACGTTCTCCTGTGTAAACTAAATCCCTACCTAACCTTACTCTGGAAAATAAGCGCCCCAACCAAAGCGACTGTCCAACCAAAAATCAATACCAAGATGCCTTTTTAAGACTCAGAGCTCCTTCTACAAAGAATTATGTTCTCCTTCCCACACACATTGCCCTAAGATTCTGTTTGAAGCCCCCTCTTAAGTATCATGGAAAATGCCTGCGGTGCTTGGCCTTCCTTCCTCCGTGCAGTGCGGGAGCGCGGGTGGTGGAGCTGCTGGAAAGCACACGGACTTGGTAACAAAGAGTGACACAGAAAGACAAAGGACTCACCCGGGGTCCTGGCTTTCCGTCTAAGCCAGATGCTCCCTGTGTGGTTAGGTGGAAGCATGGATGATGGGTACAACACGAATGACAAGAACGTGAGATTAGTAAGTGGTGCTGATGAATAAACATAATTCAAACGTACAGTACAAGTTGTGACAGGGTTCTGAAATGGGTATCACATTACTACAGCATGTTAGTTAAAAATTCACAAAAAACATCAAGAGCCTGATTCTGTTCTCACATTAGTGTAACACCACTGACCTACCCCTGCCTTTACGCCACAGTATATTAGACCAGAATAATGTGAAGCTATAAGAGTCCTACAAACACCAGATGCCAGGGTGTTTCTTCGCCTTAAGACACAAATATTTACTTTGTAATTTACTTCAATGCTTTCTGATTTGTAACTAATGACAATACTGAATACTATACTACACGAAGAAAAAAAAAAAGTATGTTAACTGTGATAGGAAGTATTTAAGTGCAAGAATACTGCATTATGCAGTCAATAAAATCTGGATCCTGACTACAATGGCCTCATTCCTTCCCAAGAGCCCGGGAGAATCACATTTCCTGTTTTTCCAATATATTCCCAGTTCGGAGCACAGGCAAGGGCTGGACGTGGGTAGCGCCCGGCACTGCGGGCCACTGCCTTCAGCATCCTTGGGGACGGGATGACCTCTGGTGGATTTTGTGCGAATAACAGAGCAGCAGCGAAAGAGCTGCTCGACTATCCCACCCACCCCCGCTGGCAGCAATGCTGGGGATAGGGATACAGGGAATAATCCTGTTTGCTTTAACCTTGCTGTAAGCGTTCGGGAGCTGCCTTGGATTTTCTCCATGCTGTCAGCTTCTGGCCTGGTACTCCAGGCCTGTTATTACATCCCTGAGCTCTCTGTTTGGGGGAAAACACACGTGGAAATAGGGGGAGAATTGGGGGTGCCTTGCTGACAGGTGAGGGGGATGACTACCAGCCTTGCGGTGCCAGGGAGCATCAGTGTTAAAGTGATTAATTCCTCTTCTCCATTACTCTAAATTAGCTAAACAAATCCCTCGCTAGGGCTGTCATACTGATGTTCAGCATGCAAATTGTTTCTAATGAGGGGGGCACCGCGGCTGGTGGTGAGCTCGTAAATCCATCCGTTCTGACACTTGGTTCCTGCACCTGGCGGACACTGCGAGAGGAGTGGGGCAGGAGGCAAATGCCCCCATGCAGCCCCAGACAAACTCTGCTCAAAACACCTCGGCGTGCAAAGGAGAGGAAGTATCTCGTGGCCAATGAGATGGAGAAATTTTCACGGAGAGAAGGATGCGGGATTGTTTTTTTCCAAATGGAAATGACTCAGCTGTGCTTTGCTAGCTAAACCCAAAGTACAGTGCCCTTAGTTTCATTTGGTTTCACCTCCCTGAGTGCAAAATCCTAGCAACAAAATCTATCCAACCTTCTCCATAAGATTCAGTGAAAGGGGTTTTTCCGTGGCGTTTTCAGCTGAGTGTATTTCTGTGTTTTCTATAGAAAATAGTGATCTCCGTATTAACTGTTAAATTGTTCAAACCAAAAGCTTTTCAGCTAAAAAGTGAAAACATCTCAGTGCTCACTTTTTTTTTTTTTTTTT